AGTTTGGCAGGCTCCATGCTGTGCACTTGATTGATGTCCAGAACATCTGAAGGACTTTTGTGTCCTGCCTGCTCTCCATGAGTGCATAATGTGTGAATACTTAAAGAAGGTCAGCCCTTATCACATGTAATCTAGGCCTGAAAGCAGATCAACAGTGACAGTCATATCCCGTAAGTAAGAACACAAATCATCCTCTACATGCTTTAGACAAGTTGTGGGATATTTTTTCTCTCTTTTTACCCCTTCCCACTCATGGAGGACCTTGGCAGAGCAATGAAAGCAGAGAGAAGACGTGCTCAGAATAATGTGTCACTCGTTCAAGGGAGAAAGGGATTGTTTATTTGTAATAATGTGATGGTCTTTCACTCTGCAGCTGAAGGGAGCTTTGGGTTGTTAATGACTAGTGATGTGGAATGCTGCAAATTAGAATGGGGTGGGGAGGCAGGAGGCAGCCTGAAAGAGGGCTGAAGTTGTGGTCTTTATAAACTCCAAAGTCAGGAAAAAAGTTTTTGTACCGTGGGCTCTATTGTTAATTTTTTTTTTTTTCTCATAGTGGAGTAGCTTTTTAGGATAGTATGTAAGTGTTTAGTTAAAAGCCAGAATAATAAAACGAATTACCAGTGCAGTTCTGAGGTCACTTTTGTTTTTGGTACAACATGTATGAAAGTTTGAAAAACGTTTTAGTGCAAAGCTCTTGGTAGGACCTAAAAGGCTATGGCTTCCAATAGGAAGAAGGAAATAACTGTTGTTATGAGTGTGCCTGTGTGTTTGGACAGAAGTTTAATTGAAAAGTAAATTTTATTCCAAACAGTATTAGCAGGGATGTTCACATGATAAAGAAAATAACACTCACCTTATTGTTCCCATTAAGAATAATAAATATATTATTATGTTTTCTTAGATACAAAGGAAAATATTTTTCATCTTATTTCCAAAACTTTATTAGTTTTCTTTGAAATATAATCAGCTGCAAGAAGTAGTAGCTGTCAGTTTGCACAATGGAAAGTAACCTGTGCTTACCTCCAGAAATGAAGACATTGCTCCCCATGTGTGTAGGATAAAATCAAAACTTCTAATTATTGGCTACAAGGCTCTTCCTAACCTCCCCAGCCTACTTTTCCAGCCTAATTCCCCTGCTCTCTAGGCATATCGAGCTTCTCCTGTTCTCTGCAAGCACTACTCTTTTTCTTACTCATATACGTACTGTACTGCCTGTTTTCTTTGCTTAGATTTTCTTTGCCTTCCCTTCACCCAGTGAATTCCTACTTACCTTTGAAGACCCAGTTCAAATGCCTCCCCCACGCAAGTCCAACCCTCACCCTCAGGCAGAATTAATCTTTGTTTGTTCACTGGTTTTTCCATGTTTCCTCAGCATAGCAGACAGTTACTGTACTGCATTGTCATTATTGGATTGTATGTTTGTCTTCACCCACTAGAGGATAAGCTTTGTCCTGAAGGCAGGTGCTATCTCTTTTTAATGTTCTCACGTTCATTCAGTAGACACAATCCCCCCAAATATAGCAAATAGTGAATGTTTTTGAGATAAATACTGTATATAAACATAAAATCAGGATATTTGGGGAGTTTCTATGTGAAAATGAATCACAAATTGAAATTGGTAGCGAGGTAGTCTCCATTTAAAATTCTTCAGTATACTTCTACTTCAAATGCATGGATATTTAATGAATTAAGTAAAAATGAATTGGATTAAAATAAATATTTAGTTTTTCAGGTATAATTTGACTTTTTTTTGAGGTGAGGTCTTGCTGTATTGCCCAGGCTAGTCTCGAACCCCTGGGCTCAAGCAGCCCTCTTGCCTTGCCCTCCCTAATAGCTGGGACTATAACCAAGGACAAACCACTGTGTGCAGCTTTAATTGAATTTTTAAAATCTTGACTTAAAATATTTTGTATCCTTGATTTAATGATCACACTGTTTGTGACAGGAACAACTTGGCAAATGTTACATTGTAGCCTGTTATATTAGAGAACATTATTTTTATTCGCAAAGCTTTTCATGTGGGAGACAAGAGAGAGATTAGTGAGAGTTGTCAGGAAATTACTAACATTTTCTGCTGTCTTCCTATGTTCTGGGTACTGTGTTCAGTAGTCTGTATTCCTTCATTTATTTAGGGGTAATTAGCAGAGGGTTTAAATAATCTGCCCCAGATTATACACATAGCACAAATAGGCTCTTTCTGCTGTATAGCAAAGACTCCGTAAATCTGGAATGTATGAATGCCATTAGTAAGAATTCTACAAATGACGAACAGTGATGTCCTACTCATATTAGTAGTACTCTCCATAGTGCTCCTTTTTCCTTCCTTTGCCCTTCTGTCAGGTGTACATTTTCAAATGGTGACCTTTCTTTTAATCTTCTCTCAGAGCTTTCTTTGAAGACTCATTTGGTATATAAATTAACTTGCAAAATTAAGTTGGCTATCTCAGTAGAAGAAGAACGCCTCAGACATAAACCGTTGTTATTCTCCTTTCTGGTATTTCTTCCTGTAGGTAAAGATGTAATTGAAGTCGAATCTATTGGAGCAGTTAAGTGAATCTGTGATGAAAGCTGCACACGCAGGTATATAACCGTTTGGCACATTGGTTCTTTCTCTGCAGTCAACTCTGTGGTTAGGAGATTGGGAGCGAATGTTTAACTGCTATGAAACCCATTTTTTAAAATAAACTTTTTATTTTATAATTGATTTAGAAAATTTCCAAAGGTAATATAGAGTCCTCATATACCCTTCACCCAGTTTCCCCTGCTATTAATATTTGACCTTACTTTGGAGCTCTGTATGTGTCACAGCTAGGAAAGGAACAATGGTGTATTACCAGCAACTAAGCTCCAAACTTTATTCAGATTTGTTTCCTCTCTCCCTTTTCATAATTCCATTTTTGTCTGTTCAAGGATCCCATCTGGAAAACCACTTTGCACGTAGTCAACATGTCATCTTACTCTCTATTGGTTTGTAACTATTTTTTTACACTTTCCTTGATAGTTTTAAGAAGTGATGATCAGATATTTTATTTAATATTTCTGAAATGGAGTCGACCTGATGTATTTCTCATAGACTGGGGTGGTTGGTGTTGAGGAGGTAGACCATAGAGGTGAAGTGCCATTCTCATCATGTCAGGGGTACCAGTTGTCAGCATGGCTTGTCTTCAGTCATGTTAACCTCGATCACCTGCCCAAGGGAGTGTTTGCCAGTTATTCCAGTGTAAAGTTATATTCCTTTTCATACTGTACTTGGAAACAAGTCACTAAGCACAGCTTAGAGTCAAGATTGGGGTTGATTAAGCTCTGCTTCATGGAGTGAGACTATCTAAATATATAAATTTTTTGAATTATTCTGAAAGGGAGATTCTTCCCATTCTACCATTGCTTTACTTGGTTATCCAGTTACTAAATCTTTATTTTAAAGATAATTTCAACTTTTATTTTAGATTCAGAGGGGAAATGTGCGGGTTGTTACGTGGGCATATTGTGTGTTGCCGAGGTTTGGGGTCCAATTGATCCAGTCACCCCGGTAGTGAGCATAGTACCCAGTAGTTTTTCAACCCTTGGCAGCCTGCCTGTCTCCTTCCCCACTCCAGTAGGCCCCGGTGTCTGTTGTTGCCATCTTTATGTCCAAGTGTACCTAATGTTAAGTTCCCACTTTTAAGTGAGAATATGCAGTAATAGAGATATATCTGATCCTGTGTTAATCTGCTTAGGATAACGCCCTCCAGCTGCATCAGTGTTGCTAGGATTTCATTCTTTTTTATGACACTAGTATTCCATGGTGCATATATACCATATTTTCTTTATCCAGTCTACTGATGATGGGTACCTCAGTTGATTTCATATCTTTGCTACTGTCAGTAGTGCTGTGATGAACATATAAGTACCTATGTCTTTTTGGTAGAACGATTTATATTCTTTTGCGTATATACCCAGTAATGGTTTTACTGAGTAGAATGGTAGTTGGTAGTACTGTTTTAATTTGTTTGAGAAATCTCCAAACTGCTTTCCACGGTGGCTGAACTAATTTATATTCCTACAAACAATGTATAAGCATTCCCTTTTCTCCGCAGCCTTGCCAGTATTTGTGAATTTTTGACTTTTTAGTAATAGCCTTTCTGACTGGTGTAAGATGGTATTTCACTATGGTTTTGATTTGCATTTCTCTGATAGTGATGTTGAACATTCTTTTCATATGTTTCTTGGCCTTTTGTATGTCTTCTTTTGAGAAGCATCTGTTCATGTTGTTTGCCCACTTTTTAATGTGGTTATTTGTGTTTTGCTTGTGGAATTGTGAAACCAGTTCTTGACCTGGTACAGATAGAGGCTTAATTAGATTGGATGTTGGAAATTAAAATATAAACTATAGATAAAAATATGTACATTAGGGTGAGTGGGTTAAATCACAGGCAAATCTGGGTTGTTTTGCTAAATTAGACTTTTGATCTACATAATAAGAGTTTCATGAGATTTTTTGAACCAAGTAGTCAGGGGCCTAATATGCCATTTATAGAAGATCCCCTTCATTGTTGGCACCTAGCATATGTTAATAATTAAGTTAAAAATGGAGGAAATTAATAGGTATACATTTTGATTTTTTAAAATATTGCTAAATGAAAGAAATAGGCATTAGCAAAAAGTTTGACTAAGTGGAAACCTCTCCTCAGACGTTTAATCTTGTTTTCACTCTCCCTCACCTAGTTGGAAGGTGAGGTTCAGAGATTCATCCTACATGCGGAAGTCCAGAAGTCTTTTTGGAGATGGAGTCTTGCTCTGTCATCCAGGCAGGATTGCAGTGGTGTGATCATAGCTCACTGCAGGCTGGAACTCCTGGCCTAAAAAAATTCCTCCTATCTTGGCTTCCCCAATAATTGGGAATACAGGTATGAACCACCATACCCAGCTAATTTTAAAAAATTATTTTAGAGATAGGGTCTTGCTATGTTGCTCAGGCTGGATTGAACTCTTGGCCTTAGGTAATCCTCTTGCCTCAGCCTCTCAAGTAGCTGGGATTACAGGTACGAGCTAATGTGCCCAGCATAAATTTTTTTTTTGAAATTCATATATTCCAAACTCTGTAACCTATATTCAAAGTCCTGCACAATTTGATTCCACTCTGTTTAGCCTTCTTTCCAACCACTTACTAATAGCAACTGTCTGTTCCAGTAAGATTGTCCTCATGCTATTGCACAAATTGAAAATTCATTTCTACCTGTAAACCTTGCTCATATAATTTCTTTCCTCTCAACTTCTGTATTGCTGTGTAAGTTCAATTCATCTTTCAGCATCCAGCTCTCCCTGCAATCTGGGCCCAGTCTGTTCCATCCTCTGCTTGGAATTTCCATGTTTATTGTGTTGGGGCCACTTCATTTTAAAATGTCTTACATTTTTACTTAATTATTTCTTATATACTAATTTTGTGGTAGTATAACCTTCTTGAGGAACCAAGTCAGCTTGCACATAGTTCAAAATCAGAAATGGTTGCTGATGTGAATTCTTTTGAACTGAATTAGGATTCTGGGGAGAGAGCAGAGATTTTGTCTTTAACTTTCAGCCATTTATAGAAGCCCATATTGGGGAAATGTGAGCAGTGGGAGCTGTCCCACATTTCAGCTATTCACTTCTTGCCCCAAAGCTCAAGGCTGGATTCCAAATTGGCAGTGGAACCATGTTGTGAATGTGGCTCTGAGCCCAACATAGAAGGTTTGAAAAGCAGATTCTATTGCTTGATTTTTGTCTGTTTTTCCCACATATCCCTCTGCTCCTGATCCATCCTTACTCATTTTACTATGTACCAATCTCTTTTCCTAACTAAAAGGGATATGGATAAGTATTACTCAAAGATAGTTCTTTTTAATCACCACCAACTTCCATGTTTCTGATAAGTAAGTTGCATGGCTTCTGTGAAATGCAGAATGTGTAGTTTATTAAGCTCAGAGTAGTTTAAGGTTTCTTACATGGTTAAAATTCTGTATTTTGGTTAAATTTCATGAAAGTACTTATGAAAGTATAAATTGAGAGTGTCGATTGGTTGTAGTATGTGTAACATCATCAAAACAAAACATTGTTGGGCTTTCCTAAACTAGAGAGTAGATTTGAATGGTGCCTAGTGGAATAGTCCTGGGAGGTGCAGGATAGGGTCAGGAATAGGGGCAAATGAGGGGTGTCTTTTGAAAGTGAGAAGAAAGCAGAGATTCTTTTTCCAAGAAAAGATTTTTTAAAATAACAAGTAAACATATAATGATGATATCTTAGATATAACCATTGTAATACATTTGCTACTCTACTCATAAATCCTTTTTCAGATAAACTGATGGGATTTAATAATAACCTCTGTTTGTATTTGTCTATGGTAACATTATAGTTTCTACATATACTGACAATTCATTTATCTTTCTTGGTTCTTTTATTATTGACAGTTCTCAGAGTAAAACAAAAATTTGAAAAAATTTCTTTATCATTCAATATCATGGCAAATGAAACTTCACAAAAATGTTCATAATTTACATTGAGAAACAGTTACAGTTAAAATCTAAAAAGCGGAAAAACTTGCAGTGGTTTTATTTACATAATAAAGTTTGTTAGGTTAACAGCACTTAAAACTATAGTCATAACTGAAATATCTTAACTTGCAACATTTATTAGTGATTACTTTTACATGTGACCCTTTTCATATCTGTGCACTTGATTCAAGGGTATTATTTATCTGTTGACGTAGTGTGAGTAAACTGCTGTAACATAATACTTTGATCTGTTGCACTATTTCTGGCATTTCATTAAGTAAAAATATTATTTCTTGTTTTCTCTTTACATTTCTCAGTTAAAATTCTTAGCAGAGAAAATAAATGTTAGTAAAAGAAACAAACTATTTTATGACAGCAACGTTTTAAATGAGGTTTGCTATGGATTCCCTTCATAGCTGCCTGAGAGATTTGGGGGACATGAGTATTGCCAGTGCAGAGTGAAGCCCCGGCGTGTGCTAGCCCTTGTGTGGGCAGCTGCGTCAGGCTCCTTTCTTAAGAAAACAATCCAGCTCAGGGTCCTCACCGCCCTTTGTTGTCCTCCCCACGAGGTGATCAGTTGAAGTCTCTGTGGTGACAGAACCAGTTTGTAACAGGCTTGTCTTTCACGGTCCTGTCTCAGGGTTGCTGGCAGGCTTGCGAGAAGATCTGACAAGAGTGGCAGCAGAGGAGTCTCAGTGAAAGACGGAAAGGCAAGAAACAGGAGGCTTAAACAGGCAGGGCACATTGACTGTTCTGCTGCTGCAATGGGTTGGCTGGAAGAACTAAACTGGCAGCTTCACATTTTCTTGCTCATTCTTCTCTCTATGCACACAAAGGGTAAGAAGATCAGTGCCCTCCACTATAGTGCTGACAAGGCTGAGTTATAGTCTGATTTCGTGGCTTTTATCACAGAAGGGAAAGTTCAGGCCAGAAGTTCAATGTCTATAAAGTTCCATCCCCCATCCTCCAACTGCTTTGTAATTTTACTACTTTCTCTATTACGGCAAGGCTTTCTAAGTAGTCTGTTAGAATAATTTTAAAGAGACTTAACATTTCTATTTTCTCTAACAATTGAGAATTAAATGCAATTCAACTTGGAACTTTAGGAAATTCATTCTCAATATACTGTGACAGTTTATGTGTGAAGAATTTAAGAAAATAGCAATTCTAACAAACTTTTTTCTGATCATTTTAGTTTGAATACTATTAGATTTTTATAGGTTAGTTTTCTTTGAAGTTCATCATTTTTATATGGTTGCATTGAGTAAATCTAACTTTGCAATGGCGATAATTACAGTTCATGAGTATGTCAGATGTTTGTTCACCTTTAAGAACAGGGGCTTGCTTTGTGATAATTTTGTTCAGAAGAATTATTAGTTTATCAAGTTGACTAAAATATAGAAAATGTTAAAACTTATTTAAAATTTTTGAATTAAAGTAATTTTAAGAGTAGAGCTATTTTCAAATGAGAAGAAAGCTAATGAACTGAATATGATATAACTGGCTGTGGTAGTGAAGGAGTTTTAAGGTTGGAAATAAGGAAATAATGGCTTTATAAAATTAAGCCAAATGATAAAGGAAATATGTATGGGATTGAAATGTATTTATAGTTCAACTTTATGTACTTGTGGATGCATATTATAGAACTAACTTGGCTGTACTATTTATCAGAAGAGTGTGTACTTTTGATTGGGATTTACAAGATTCAGATTTTCATCATCTCAAAGTATCCTGTGACACTATTAAGATACTATGTTCTGTGGCTTGGCCCTATGGAAAGTGTTTTTAATTTCAGTATATGTAAATGTATTTTTACTTATACGGTATACAAAAGTTTAATTTTTGTGTATTGATATGAAGGAATGATAGGTATTTCGTCGACCTAGTTTGCTAGTTTATTCCCTAAAAATTGTTATAATCTGGCACCCTGTAGGGAGAATAGAAAGACTTCAGGGAAACTGTGTCTTAAGTGTGTTCCAGGAAGCTCAAAGCATGATATATGTGAGGTAAAATTCTAATTCCTCTATTCTAGCTACTACTGCTTCTTCATTGCCTGGGAGTCATTTTTTATTATCTTTTAGCATTTTCTTTGAAATATATGAATACTTGGCTTTAGTATTGAGTTATGCCAATAAAAAGCAAAGAAGCCATATGCCTCAGACAGAATCTTTGGATCATAAAATGCTAACCTTAGAATGTATCTTAACATAATGTCTTAATATCTTATTTCTTCCAGTGAGGAAGTTGATGTCCAGAGACATTCCCTTTCTTCTTATAGGTCATATAGGTGTAGGGAACTTTTTTAAAAAGCTCCCTTTGAAGGGCACTTTGTGTGTGTGTGTGTGTGTGTGTGTGTGTGAGAGAGAGAGAGATGTGCCTCTACTTAATTTATCTTATAACATAGTATCATAGTGGCTAAGAGTACAAATTCTGGACCCAGAATGCCTGGTTTTGAATCTTAGCTCTGCCACTCACTAGTTGTATGAACTTAATTAAATTATCTTATTGTTGTCTCAATTTCCACAACTGTAAAATAGGGATAATAATTACATTTACTATCGATTTGACTATTAAATGAGTAAATATATATAAGCACTTAGAATAGTGTCTGGCACATAATATTACCTGAAACTTTGCTGTTGTTAGTATCATTATTAATAATTAATTTATGCAAAAATAGGGAACCAAGCTAGAAATGTACAATGAGATAGGACTGTGAACATCCAACAGGTCGTCTTAGTGTGATGAACATGTTGAATCCCAGTTGATTTTCCCAGCTTTGTCACCAATTGACTTTTTTTGTTGAGGAATTACTCTCTGTAACTTTCTATAAAATACACTTGATGTTGTTTGTTTATTTATTTATTTATTTATTTATTTATTTATTTTTTCCCCTGATAAATACAGAATGTGCTATAGACAGGGAAGGACTATGAGATTAACCAAAATTAAGCCACTTAGATTATTAAGTTAAATATTCATTGACAACAGCTAACACGCTTCACAATTGTTAATTTCGCATCTACTTCAGTGAGAATGATGATCACAGAAAAGGAAAATACAGAGCACTGATAAATGATGTGTTCATGACTTTTAAGTGAATGACAAAGCCAAGATTAATATTCTGAGATATTACATCCATATTTAAAATAAATGTCTTTCAAAATGACAACTTGAGACATTTGGAGAATGTGAGCATCAGGTGCATAAAAATATTTTGTTAATTAAATACATGGAAACCTGAAATATTTATATGGAGGGATAGGTACAATATTGCAGTTCCACCTGAAGTGGTACAAAGCTCTGCAAAGTCACAATAAGTGGAAAGAAGAACTCTTCCTACTTGGGATAGAAGCAAGGGTGACCTATGTGTATGGTAACTCATCAACCTAAATCTTACCACTGCCTAGCTATTACCTTAAATGTTTTACTCGGAAGAGATACAGGCTTTGAAAAAGGAGGCATGAGTACATCTTGGTAGAGGTCTTGAACTTCAAGTTTTTAAATACTGGAATATTGTGATTGCTTCAGAAACATATTTTTACATCTAGAGAAATGGGGAATTGCCTTCCTGAAAGTGAAAATGTGACCTGTAATGATCAGAATCTGTAGTGTTCACTTCTACTTGAAATGGATTATGTTTAGATTGAGCTACTTGTACTACCCTGCCCCTTTATTCTCCAAACATAGTAGAGACTCACAGACAGTCATAATGAATATAGTGCAATGTGCAAACAGTACTAAAACATTGAATATAGTGCAATGTATAAACAGTATTAAAGCATCATTTTGTTCACTACCATTCTTCTTAAGTTCTGTTAAGGGAATTTAGTAAAGTTATAAAGATGATAGACTGACAGACCTAAAAACTAAAGGACTCTGGGTTTGTTGTTCTAACACAGTGGTGGCAACGATGTGCCTGTCCTGACGAGGATAGGCCTCATGTTCCCATATTTAAGATGGTGAAATTTTCATTTGGTTCCCTGTTAAATGTACATGTGGAAGTGTGTACAATTTTTCCCCCATAAAATAATGCTAATAAGCCATTAAAGCAATCAGATTAAATAAAAGTTAGCAGCCACATTTATTTTAGGAGCAATTCTACATCAATAAAGATACAGGAAAACAAGGTGAGATAGGAAGTAGAAATCCACTCTTTTATGAATACAGGAAAAATTTCAAACCCAGTGATCAAAACCAGATCCAAGTCTCCATGGTCCCTACAGTTTTATATAATCTGGATTTTATATACCACCTCTCTGTTGCCAGGCCATATTCCTTGGGTTTCCTATTGTCATATTTATGTCAGGCCTAGATGAGACTAATTTAAAATTCAAACAGTATGTTATAATTTTTTTTTTTAGTATAATCAGGGCGAATAGAGAATCCAATAAGAGGAGGATAACAAACATCAAGCATGGCTGTGAATATGTAGTTTCACAATTAGAATGATAATATTGCTATGTGGCATCAGGTTTTGGTAATATTTTGAGTGAAAAATGATCCTTATTACCATATGACAAAATATACTGAAAATCTGAACTGTTAGACCAACACAGCTGTTAAATGCATGAATGTGGTTATGTGTTTAAAATGTTTTCTACTACAGCTATTATGTGGCATTTCTTAATCTCAGACTATTAATCGGCAATAACTGCAAGTTGTGGTGAGCATCACAGATGTAAGAAATTTGATCTCTGGCAATTTACCTGGAAAGAAAATGGCTAAACTATAGTTTTCAACTTAAGTTCTGCTCATTAGATTGGATAATACATTCACATAATTGCCGAGTACAGACTGAAATCATTTGGTTTCACCTTTTTTTATAAGTTATTTTCAAAATGCTAGCAACCGTATGCAAGTCTTATATGTGTATAAATATCTGTACATATATAATTCAAACCTGTAAATTACAAATATACGAAGGCTTTTGAAAAAACATTGGAACATCAAAATAACTCAAATTAGTTTCTTTTTCCTCTGTAAGCCAATTGAATCTGAAATAACATTGTACAAATATTTTATTGATTTAGAACATTGTACAAATCTTTCATTGATTTAGAATTGCCAGGAATAAATTTATGAATTCTTCCCCCAACTTTTCAAATGCATATCTGTTTTTAGAATTCCTATAGGCGTTTGAACAAATCCTCAAATAAGATAAAATATTGACAACTAATTATAGAACAATTATCTTAATCAGCTAAGTTTTCTGTCAAGCTTTCTTATTGCTGCATTTTAGGTCCAGATGGACTCCTTTGGTCTTGATTATTATACTTGTTATCTGTAAAATAGAGACTTTGTCTATCTTAATATATCTTTGTTGGTTTGGGAATGTGAATAGTAAAATACCTAAGGATGATCTTGTGACTTTGAACTCAGAAACAGCTTATTCTTACTCTAGACCTCTCCACGTTTCTTTTAACTTGGAACATATCTTTCTGGATTAACTGATTACTCTGCTTGATACTATCTCTATTACATTCTTTTGATGTTTAGTTAACTATATAAAATCATAGTATTGATATTTTGGTTATAAAGAACAGAATCTTAAGTAGAGAAAGAAGTTTAATGGAGACATAAAGAAAAACTAAAGGAAACAGGCCTCATGGGACCCAGAAGGCCAGGAGGACCTGAGCGTCTCCTTGTCTATGTCTGTCTCTCTCTGAGGGCCTTGTGCATGTTCCACTCTCGCTGTGTGTGTCTGCTCCCTTCTTTTCTTTTTGTTTAAAATTCTTTAATAGACGCTCTTTGCATTTAGGATAAAATCCAGATCTTTCTATGTCCTACAAGGTCTGGTATCAACTGGCTCCTGACTCATCTTGCAGCTCATCTCA